ATCGTTCGATATTTGCTCGACTCATCCACGACTAAGGACCGATCTGCCGAGAGCACACTCGAGTTCGGCTGTGCGTCAGTCCAAACCGTCTCCCGCCGACACATTGACTTGCAGCGGCAGGGTCTGTTTTTGCACGCGTCACCGCCGTCACAAGTTTGTGTACGGAGAAAAGCTACGTGTGCAGGGTGCTGGGCGCCGTTTGTGCCACGAGCACTGGGAGGGAAAGACGACGAAAAGTGCTCGGAGCCGTGAGTCCCCTCGCGGATGGCCGAGATTTATCGACGCAGAAAAGAGCTGGGTGGAACGGTCGTTTGAGCAATTCGATGGCGTTGTTTGCGCGGCTACAGCCATCTGTTGCGCGTGCAGGAGGGGCTTGATGATGGCGATAAGAGATATGGAGCATGAGGTGGAAGGAATGGTTCATTTGAGGAAGGTTTCGCTTCTTCACCAGCTTCCCTGCCACTCAAAAGTCAGAACGCTTACAATGGTAAACAGAATGAAAACGGTTTCAGGAATTCTTCGGAGAAGCTGACATGGTCAAACGCAATCGAACCGTTATAGGCATGTGAGCTGCACGCTTCAAGGGGTTTAAGAAGCTAACACAAAAAACGTCTGTATGCGATATGCATACCAGCTGCTCCCTGGGCCCTTGGTCGCGTTACACTGTCGCTTTTGGTCGTGCTGTGTTAATAAAAGAACCAGCAGCCGCCAGGATCGATTCTCATTAATGTGGATACTTGCGATGCACCGGCAGGTCGCGGGATCACGGATGCTTGCGATAAGTCCATTGATTATTCGAGAAGCACTCACGTTTTTTTTTGGAAATGATTTAACATGGGTGAAGACGTCCACGTCCAACTTTGGGAAACGCAGCAGCAGCGTTACCTGGCCTGGTGACGTGATGCTGAAATTGTCACAACATTCGTGGAAAAGATATATGAGATGTGTGACAAATCACGGCACCACGCGCTACCGCCGGTACACTACGGAAAGGGGACGCCAGCCACAGCCCCCTCCCGTCCATTGTGCAGCCAGTTTTTTAGGAATATGCAAATGAAGTGTCAATGGCTCACATGTCATCAAAATCATTCATACGGGAAATACTGAAAACAAGCAAAATCTTCTGGTCTTTGAAATTGAAACAGTAAGTAATAGCTTAAAATACGTGTCTTTGAGAAGTCCCAATGTCTGGCATCTGCCGCGTTGACAATGCTCTACAGTATTTTCTAGAATCGTCAATAACGTTCTGATGTTCTCACACGTGAAATAACCCACTCTGCGCCCCATTGCGCGACAATCCAGCCGATCAACTCTGCCGACTGTGGGCGCCTATCAGCGCTGGCCGGCGGCGAGCCGGGCGTGTCTCGTTATTGGCAATTTGTGTCGAGATGGCCTCTTGGAGACGTGACGGGCTAGCCGTGCGGACCATCTGACGGCCGCCGCGGCGGCGACAACACCCCAATCTGGCCGAACCGGCGGCCGATGGGAGACGGACGAGCGTCTAATAGAATTACGAGGCACCTTGTCACGTTTGGTGGCCGGACCTGCCACGACACTGCGGTGGTCACGTCTTGGAGAGAAGTAATGTGGTAGAGATGTGAGAATGAGGATGTGTCGATGCCGTGTGAAGCCGCGTAGTGACTTGTGTTGTGGTGAACACCATCATCACGATTTTATTAAATGGCTAGCTACCGAGGGTGTCCGGAGAAATATCTTAATCACGCGTTGTGTCAGGTGTCTTTTCAAGCTTTAGGATATAACTGAACATGACACTTAACAACAGTTTAACTCTTTTGGCGCCGTATTATCCAACACATAGGCCGGAGAGCCAGACCAGGGTTTTAGAAAAGGAGCGCAATGTGGCATTGTGTGCCTACTTCACGTCATACGCTACTTCGAGTGCCCACAGTGCATCACGCTTTGCTGAAAAGCTGCCCCTCCCAGCTCCCGTACTCGTACGACTACACCCATTGCATTATAAGAATTCACATTGATATCTACATCAAGATTCAAGGGCTATTGAATAAGAGCTGTTAAACGTTTTATAAGTTTCCCGATGTTTTTATCTTAGCCTCTTTTTATTTTGTTTTGAGCTGATATCTAAATTTAGAGACATTCTTATTATCATTCTCCTTACAAACCAATAGACAACTGACGAATCTAGTGTTTAACCCTCGCGGGCCCGGGGGGGGGGGCGTTTTTCGCCCCCCTGGCGAATATTTGCGATAACTCCCGAACGCTTAGGGATAGGAAGGCGAAACTTTCAGTACCTTTTCTCCCATCAATTTGAGATCTTCTGAAATAAAAAATTTGGACCTAGCCCCCTTGATGACGTCACAAGGTCCATTTTTCTAGACCCCTGCACGGCAAACTTCGGCGTCACAGACGCAAACTTCAAATAGCTGCTAAAAATAGAGTTTTAGAGATAAAGACAAATTACGAGCACGGCTGTGTAGCGTTTGACCTAGAGAAAAATAGAAAAATAGTTTTGGTGACCTGAGGTCAGAGGTCAGGTCAACGACCCCGAAATGTGGTTTTAGTTTTTCGCAAATAACTTCGACAAAAATGGTCCTAGAGCTACGGCAGTGGTACCATCGCATTTGCCTTGTCAAGCCGCGTCGAATGATATATATTTTGTTCGGAAAAGGTCAAGTTTCATGTTGACCTCATGTGACCTCGAATGACCTCTGGTTGACCTTGACACATGAAAGGTCGTTTATGATGGATTTGTACCCGCTGATCACGAATCTGGCATCTATTTTCCTCTAAGCCTTCATTTAGAGCTTCCGGATGGCAAAATTGTCTTATTTATTATTACTAACTTGAATCAGTGAAATAGCCTCTAGCAGGGATACTCTTCTGTGACCTTGACCTTTGAGCAGCCTTGTATCGTAAGATGAACCACAAATAGGGAACTGATAAGCCTCAAAACATTTCAAAACATCTTGGAAGTTAGCACGCAAGATGTGCGAAAAAGTGCCAAGTTTGAGGTCAATTTTGAGCGTGACCTTGACCTTGACCTTTGATTTTGAGCACAGTTTCGGAATCCCCAGATTCTCTTCTTTCGTTTGACACCCAATTTTGCCGGTTTGATGCAGCCTGCCGTCCTCTAGAAGGCTTACTTTGAGATCACTACACATGTGCCGGTTTTGGCCTTTGACCTTGACCTCTGACCTTGAAAATTGACCTGAGGTCAAAAATTTTAGGTGCATTAGAATCGTCTCGTAAGGACCTTTCGTTTGGTATCGCTTTTGTTTCCGTAGCTCCCTTATTTACGGAGTTAGACAGGGGGGGGGGGGGCGAAAAACGCCCCCCCCGGGCTGCGGTGGTTGGGATTACCCCCCGGGCCCGGCCGGGTTAAGCGTGGTTAGTGTTTAAGTGTTCTAGATGAATCTAGCTCTGGAACCCACGACTCGATATGCACGTGTGTTTGTTGGGCCCACGTGTGCAAAGTATGATCACTCCATGGGGCGGCGCCGGTCATTTGTAGCTGATAAGCGGCGGCACGTGGTGACATCGCGTTGCCAGTGTGTCCGAGATTCTAAACAAGCCACGTACATTATTCATGCCGCATACATTTGCATTCACTATAGAAGTCATTCTTGTTTCGGCATCATGCATATTAGGCAGGTATAATAGCCGGTACTTGTCTTGGGAGATAGCGGCGGCACCGGACCACTTTTGCTGGACGCTGAGACATTTTGGCCGACCGTGTCAGCAAAGTTAGAGGCGGCTCAGAGCCCTTTATCATGTCCCCGCCACGACAGAATGGTCGGCTCATATATTTGAAATGAGCAGGGCGCTTTGTTAAAGTGACCACTGGTGGTTATGTTACACTTGTTTGATCTTTTATGACGCACTTGTGCTCAATTTGGGTGACACGTACCTCAGTCTGCTTGAGTGAATAATATTATACTGAGTTGATGCCTCCCAATGTACTCCCGTTTGTACTTTGCCTTATACCATTTGTGTAACATCCAGCGTAATTCAGACCTGTGAGGCCATCGAACTCATGGGGATGCCAAAACACATATGGCATTGATACCATCAGCTCTTTCCATGTTATTTGCCATCTACTCAGTGCCAGTTTGGTATGCTGACAATGCACATTCCTAAACAATAGATCTGAAATACTTCATCGCTTCAAAAAGTTGTTATTCGTCTAAATATGCTCTCTTCAGTTCAGTGTTCTCTTTTTTATTGGACTCGTTTCTCATTCTCAGCATCCGATTAACATGACATGCTCTTTTGATACTGTTGCATTTTGGTCTGCCTTGCTTATTCCTCTTTTCTTCCTCTTCCTCTCCCTCTCTCACTCTCTCTCTCTCTCTCTCTCTCTCTCTCTCTCTCTCTCTCTCTCTCTCGTTCTCTCTCTATTTATCTTTCTGTCTCACTCTCTTTCCTTTTCCTGTTCTCTCTCTCTTTCTCTCTCTCCCTCCCTCTCTCCCTCTCTCCCTCTCTCCCTCTCTCCCTCTCTCCCTCTCTCCCTCTCCCTCCTCTCTCTCTCCCTGTCTCCTCCTCTCTTTCTATCTGTCGTGTGCTCTTATCGCGCCCTTTTGTAGTTTCCGTTCCCGTGCTTCCCATCTCCGGTAGGTGGCTGCTCTCGTCTCTCTCATTCTCCCTTCCGCTCTCCTTTTATCGCTCCCTCTCTCTGTCCATCTCCCCTCTTTGTCTGTTGCCATACCTTTGTCTCGTTGATGCTGATTTCTTTTTCTGTCCACTGTTTTCTCCGTTGTTGCATCTACATCTATGATTACGGTAACCACAGTTCAAAGCGTTTTTCCTATCGGCCACATAGTTATAATGGTGTTTCGTGTCGTTCTGTCCCGCATTTCAGCAGTGTCTGGTCCTTCTTTGACGCCTGCCATTTCTCTGTGCGTCCCGTAAGTCAAACCTGTGTCTGGCCCTACCCGAACTGCCTGTTATTTCCCTGTGCCTCTCGCAGCTCTGTAGAATCTGGTCTCTCCTCTCACTCTTGTCTTTCTCTGTACCTCCCGCAGTTCAAGAATGTCTACAGCGGATGATTGTCGGCAGCACGCTGATCAAGATCCGACCAAACCTGCGCCAGTATCACCGGTTCTTCAGCGTCACAGAGGACCTGACGGCGGTCCGGTGGGTGCCCTCGAAGAAGTCCAACAAAGCTCAAGGTGAGTCGGTTAAGCCGCTGAACAGGGGGGGGGGGGGCTGCGGACCTACGTCCGAAGCCGTAGAGTCGTGGTCTGCCGGCCAAGGAGTTGGCAGCCTTCTCACCAGTTGGCAGCCTGTCGCAGACGACGGTCAGAGTCTGTGATCTGGTATTGAGCTGAAGCCTGCTGGTCTAAATCATGGTCTAACCAGCCTGCGCCATGCGTTCCAAAACATGTGATATGATTATTTATCATATTCGGTGCTAGTCGATTTGCAAGGGTCTTAACCCTCGCCGGACCTATTGGTTTTCTACATACGCCGGCGAACGCGAACAGCATACCAAACTCGGCCGGCGAGGGTTAATTGCAAGACCATTGCATAAGATTGATTGCAAGTTAGGATCTCGTCTTTTGATTATGTTTCAGACGACAAACGTGCCGCAGTCTCGGTGTCCTGTCACATGTAAATTTGTATCGTTGTGAAAATTATATTATTATTTTTGTTTTTAATCTTAATTTTATATTACATTTAATGAGCAAGTTTTCCCAATGATCTGACTATGTATTGTTTCAAGATGCAAGTCTTTTTCCTATGTCACCTTCCACTTAGTTAACCCGCGCGGGGCTGGGGGGGTAAATTTTACCCCCCCCTCGCGAATTTTTGCGATATCTCAAAAACGGCGGCGCGCAGCGCCGCCAAACTTTCAGTACCTTTTCTTACATCAATTTGACACCTTCCCTGAAAATTTGAGCGAAATCCGTCGGAAAATTTTTGAGAAATTGACGTTTTAGTGACCTCATGTTCGCCATTTTCGCCTCAAAAACGGCAAAAGTTCAAACGCCGCTAACATCTTCATTTTTAAAGGAATCAAGACGTAACAAAAAAAGGTTATACGTAATTTTACTTTGTCTATCAAATGGCTATCTCGGTTTTTTGAAAATTTTGGATTTTGGCCTAAATTTTTTCAAAAAACTGATTTTTTTGGGAAAATCATTATAAAATCCAAAATTTCGAGTCTATCGAAAAAACCGGAATATATGTCAGAGAAGTGGTCTATGTGCACCTACAGGGTGTCCGGAAAGTTCTGGCGCTTTTCAACATTTTCTAAAACAAATGTCATTGGTTCATAGATACTCATCAATGGATCAAAACAATGACCAGGGACACCAAGCTACATGCTTCCGCTACGTGCTCATTGAATGTAACCACCGTCGGCGCCGACGACGGCCTCGACGTAGGGGAGGAAGCGCCTGCGGGTTTTGACGATGTGGGGCATTGCCAGGTCCTCCCATGCTGTCATGATGCGAGTCTTCAACGACTCCAGGCTGGGGTGAGAAATGGCCTAGATCCTGTTCTACAAAACGCGTAGCACGCCTTAGTCGAGCGGGTCAGGTTAGGAGAATAAGGCGGCCTAATCTCATTTCGCCACGGTGATCTGGCCCGGCAAGCTCCTCTGTCAGTTTAGCTCGAACGGCTGCGGCGTTGTTGAAGGGCGCTCTCTGCTGTTGAAATGCGAAGTGACCCTTAGGGTAAGTCGTCTTGACCCTCGGGTTGATGTGGCTGTCCAGGAACCCCTCGTGGACCAGCCTGTTATTCATTTATTCGACATTGACGAAGATGATGGGACATTTTCGTCAATCAGACCCCCGCAGTTTCTTCGATTGCCGCGCTGAAATGCTGCTCTGTTCTCTGCAGTTTTGACATACCGCGGTCGTACCGGTCTGAGGATATTTTCTAAGGAATTCCCGAGTCGGAATAAGATTCTACCTGCTAAACCATTCATCGAAAAACGCCGCATCGCCCTGCAACTCGCGCCTCGTTCAAGGCGCACCCGGCCGCCGCGCGCAGGCATTCAGCGACAAGGCGCATCTTCGCCCATCTACCCATCATTGAAAACGATTTCAAAGTCATATTTATACGACCCCTAGCTTAGCGGTCAACGAGGGGTCATGTCTGTGGTGATTGGCTGAATGTCCAATAATCACAGCGCGCGTTAGACGGCGTCCAAAAGAAGCGCCAGGTCTTTCCGGACACCCTGTACATACCAAATTTTAGAAGAATCGGTTCAAAAATGTGGGAGTTATTCAAAATTTTATGACGTCACGACACACAAATTTTTTGAAAAATGACTTTTTTGGAAGTTCTAGACCTCCTACGGAAACAAAAATAGCACCATTCGATTCGCCGTGAAAAACTGCATCAGATAGACACCTTTTTAGGCCTTAACAACCAACTTCAAAATTTGACCTCACTTGACCTGACCTTGACCTGACCTTGACCTGAAATTCATCCAGATGTGGTCCATATCACTTATTGAGTGTGCCTATTGAATTCTATGAGTAAAATGACCCATAAAACATGTGTCGCACATGCCCTTTTCTATATTTTGTTTTTTGGTGACCTGACCTGACCTGACCTGACCTTGACCTTGACCTCTGAATGATATTGTATGCAACTAATATTGTCTTGGTAGCCTAAGAACACGTTTTGGGCGATCAGTCTCAGTCCATGACTCCATCCTTCGGCAACTACGGTGCAAGGCCGATACTGTAGAAACTTGCAATTTGTACCCTTGACCTGACCTTGACCTTGACCTCAAACTTTAAATTAAGTACATGTTTTTAGTAGTTCGTGATGAGAGCTTTCGATTGGCGTTTTAATTTTCCAAATCGGACCATTAGTTCGGGAGATAACAGGGGGGGGTAAAATTTACCCCCCCCCCCAGCCCCGCGCGGGTTAAGTTAATGTACGTGTATTTTCCATTTTCATTCTATTCTGTCTTGCATTTTTATGTGTTCAGCCACCCCTGTTCCTGTTTTTCTCCATTGCTCTTTTTCAGTGGGCCTGCTTCATCTCTCTGCATCTCTCTTCTATTCGACGTCCGTCTATTCTTCGCTCTCACTTCTCCCAGCTCTGCTTCTCCCTCCGGTGTCCTCTCCTCTCTTTCTCCGGATATGACTTCGTGCGCCGGGCCCGGGTCGATGTTGACTGACTGCTGAGGGAGGGGGGCAGGGGGCAGGGGCATTGATCGGGCCTCGGAACATGCTTATCAAAGGATCGCATTGGCCCGCCGAGAAGGCATATAGGCCGGTCGGCGGTCACATAGATCGTATATCGCCCGCGGCGCCGGCCGGGTCACCCGCGGCGCGGTGCAGAGGCTGCCGCCGCTGCCGGCAAATGGTGGCCGCTAATGAAAGGCACCACCTGGCGGGCTGCTGTGCCCGCCGCGCTCTCCTCGACACCGACGTAGTTATATAATTTGTTACCACCGCATACTTATACATATTTGTTATTTTTTTTGGTACCTCGATATCATTTTTTTTCCAAAAGTTGTTTTCCGTTTAAGAAAATGAATGTGCCTATAGTCATTTGTCAAACTTTCAAGGTCAATGCTTTTAAAGACACGAAAATGTTTTTGATGCATCAGCATTCATGAATTTTGTAAGACCGCTGGTAGGCACTGAACGTTTGACTGGACTGGCCACGGTCGGACTGATACGAAACGGTCTCATGGCCCCCTTCAGCCAAAACGAAGCAACTCCCCACCAACTACTGTCAGACTGTTACCACCCTGTGACCGGTCAGAGAGACCAATACCCCTGCCCGACCGACTGCTATCCGGTCTGTGCCGATCGCCCTCCGCCCGTCTCCAGCCAGGCAGACCAGCTCTGTGTGATGAGGTGTAACGCCGCTCCCCGTCCGTTCCAGTGCCCATCGACTCCATCAAGGAGATTCGGACCGGAAAGAACACCCCCATCTTTCGCAACAAGGAGTTCAGCGGCGCCTATTGCGAGGAATGTGCCTTCTCAATCATATACGGCGAGGAGTTCGAGTCCCTAGACCTTGTGGCTCCGTGTCCGGATGAGGCCAACATATGGATCACAGGACTGAACGCCCTCATAGGTGAGTGGAGCGGCTCATTGCGGCTGCATGACCACGAGGCGGCAGCCGTGGGAGGGATGACCGTGTAAAGATTATATTCCTTTCGATGGAAGTGTGGTATGTCGTACATGTTGTCATGTTGTGAGTAGCATGTGGTGTTTTTGCCTATCGCTGCTATATACGGGAAGAAATGTGAGATGGTATAGTAACACTTGGAGTCCAAGGATCCCTGTCAGTCGTCAATGCTTTTTCGAGCGCATGTTACACAGGCTCTATGCGCTTCACGGATAGTTTTTTTTTCTTCTGTGCACTTCTTTGCGTATGATATATACCTGTTTTACCTTGTTTTCAGTCCTTCGCTAACCGTTCCATTTGTTTCTGGAGTCGGTTATTGAAGTGCTTCAGAACATGGCAGTTCGAATATTTTCGAAACTAAGTGAGCCTTATTGGATAAGCCTTGAAGGGTTTCAAATCTGTGAAGTGGAATAGGCTTCTGGTCCAGCGTTCAACGCTTGGTTTTCCGGGTACAACATTGGACATGACATGACCTTCAGTCGTGAGCATCCCTTTCCTGCTCGATTCTTCGCCTTCGCTTTGCTTTATGTCGGTCAGTTCCGTTGACAATGGACTCTTACATCGTACTGCATCCGCCATTCCATCTTTTCCATTCTTTCAATCATCATTTATATTCTTCCAATCACTTATCACCAATCGAACCTAATTTTCCCTAGCGACTTCATACACTTTCCAGCGAACACAGCTAGTGAAGTGAACCCAGTTTTGTTTTACCATGTCCGTCGGCTCCGGACCGATCTCATTCGTTGCCGACTGGACTACCACGCTGTCGCTCAGCGCGCGAGCGGGGCGGGCAGCAGTCGCCACCCAGGTGCCGGCTGCGTCGCCGCCGATGATGGAGCCGTCGCAAACGACGCTCGTGCCCGGCACCGGTGCCAATCGGTGTGTCGAAGGGGACGGCCAAACGGATGGCCTGGCGATGGCACGTGGGTGGGTGGACCACAATGGAGCGGCGCTCCTCCGGGCGGAATAGAGGACTGTGGCGTCAGACACGCAACAGGAACAGAGTGTGGAGTTGTAAGGATATTGGTGGTACTGGTTACTAAAGGGACGGAGGAAAAGCGTTTTGATTATTTATATTTTTGAACGTAGGAAAAGCGTTTTGATTATTTCTTTTTGCCGACGCCTTGGTGCATACCAGCGTGAATAATGCACGAAGGAATGTCGATATCGAAGAATAGAATATGCTGGTTCGCGCTGAATGTGACCGCTAAGCGTTTGAAAATGACCCAGCGACCGTACATCGCCCTACATTTCGTCGACCTCGATGAATATGCATTTCAGTGTAAGTGCAAGTGCATGGAATTCAACGAGGCAGACACTGCAAGGTCGTTTAAGATGGTTTCAAACATATGTAGTTAGGAATTCAAATGACCTTTTCCTCGATAATTAATTGGAAACGCAATAAAAAGCAAATATTATATTGTTTGACAAATTTTCGAACAACAGTTAATTCTCAAGCCACATGTAACAATTGACAACGAAGTTTTATAACTCAAAAACGTTTTAATAAAACTTCGGTTATAAAACTTCGTTGTCAATTGTTCCATGTGGCTTGAGAATTAACTGTTGTCCGAAAATTTGCCAAACAATATAATATTTGCTTTTTATGGCATTTCCAATTAATTATCGAGGAAAAGGTCATTTGAAATCCTAGCTAGTTACATATATCAAAATGTTCCTCGCTAGAGCACTGCATACTATTTCTTCATAGTTTCAAACATATATGATTATGTGCAAGGAGCATGGATCACCCTTGCATGGCTGTTCTCACTAGAAAGGATTGCTTTGGCGCCCGCACTTTTATTTTTACGAATGGAATATTTTCATTCCCGATTCGTTAGAGAAAATAATGTGAAACGCACGACGAATTCACTTACACGGAAGCAGTGCAGACTGCACATTGTATGTTCTTTACATGTGCTTTTGTTACATTTATTTAGCATGTATATTTTTATGGGGACCAGTAGCGCGACAGTCATCTCTCATCCTACGATAAGCGAAGGGTAACATGCCGTGGCCGCGTCCCCCCCCCCCCGCTCCATGGGGCCTTCATTGACGGCTGATCGGATGGTCCAGACAGGCCGTGATTGGTCTGCTGATGGCTGCCGTTCCCAGCTAACGGCTCGGGATGGTCCCGACAGCCGCGGGCCGCGCTGAGACGCTTGGGGATCACCCGGGCAGGGCCGAATATACGGGGACCGCGCGCCGGGCCAACCGCCGGCAGGGCGGAGTGTGAGCGCTGAGCAGTCATGGCGCCTGATGACGCCACGGACATCTGCCTGATGACAGCGGACGTCTGCCTGATGGCGTTCAGCCGCCGGAGACGGAGCCGCTGATGACGCCGCCGAACGGGGTGGCGACATCGCCCGGGGGAGCTCTCGGGAACTCGCTCCCGAGACGGGACGGAAATGGCTGCTCCGTCCGTTGACGAGTGATGGTTGGTGGCACTGGCGTGTGGCTGCCATGTAGCCACGGCTAATGAGGGGATCAGCGCAACGAGAATAGATCGGCTCTACTGGAATTATACCCAGCGACGTCTGGACGGATCGCTGGTATTTGCTAGGAACTTTCGGCGACTTAGGTTATGTAGTGTGGTTGAAAGGATTTAGGCTCACGCAAGGCTTTGTCAGCCTCACTTACGAAGAACTGCTCACGTTTGAGTATGTTTTTGGTAATCCAGCCCGGAGGATTCTCTGTGTCTAATTGATCTCATCAAGTAGGATTTTTCAAGGGAATATTTAGCTTGACATCTGAACTACCTATTTTCTGGACTATTTCGATCTAACAAAAACTTACGATTTGTTTCTACAGGGTGTCTCAAAAGTTCGTTTACACATTTCCAATGTCAATAAAGCATATAAGAACCGGCCAAAAATCTAAGGTTTTGGTGTCCGTGTGTACACTAGACAAATATGCATGCTTTGACAACTGATTCGGAAGGTTGGAAACCAAACCCTTTGCTGTATCTCCAAAAATATTTGCCCATACCGATTTTCGTCACTCCGTCAGCTGCCGGAGGCTGATAAAAGGTTACCAGCTTTCAAGCTCTTGTAGGGGAATCCCCCGCAGTTTCTGCGTCGGATTTAGGTTTGACGAGCTCCCCGGCAACATCCGCTTCTCCCTGAAAGCCGATAGCTTGCATCGACACCATCCGTGAGTATTTTGTAGGTCTTCTCTGGCGCTAACTCCTTCATGAATGACTGGCGCCGACCTCCCAAGCACCATTTTCCTTTTAAAAACAACCCCATTCCTGAACAAATGGGAAGTGCCAGGGGCAAATTTTTCGCAGCATATCGTAGCAAAATGTGTCGGCCATCTGTTTCTTAGACACATTTTGCAAAATTTGCAAATCCCGAACGCTCGTCATTCCCAATGCCAAGACCTTCGCTGGGTTCCGGAGTGTTTTCCTCAGGAGAGGTTCTGCTTTGTAAACGGCCAAAACCTGTCCATCGTGCGGTTTTGTCCGGATTTTGTGTGTAAAAGAAAGCTATTTGCTCCAGATCTGCCTCTTGAAACTTCGTTAGATAAAACTTTACATTAATTGACACTTTTGGAGGGTCACTTGTCCTCGGCATTGACGATTTTCGCATTATTTTCCCTCAAAATTTAGCGTTATAGATATTATAAACAATTTTAAATGATAGGTATTTTGTCTTTATTTTATGATGACCTGCAATTTTTGAAACTGGGTAACCTCTGTCTGTGAGCTTCTAGTCAGTTTTCAATAGTTAGGACTGCATTTTCAGCTGCTTTCCGGAGCACGAGTCTGCTGCGGTACAAGGGTCGTTCAAAGCGCTGTTAGTCTCGCATGGTTTTGTCCTTCAAAAATTTTAGCCACCGTTTTTATTAGATGACCATCATGTTGTACTCATCCTCGCCGACACTCTGCCATGTTTCATTTCCGACCTAACCATTCCCATTACTCGTGAAGCAGAGAGTTTCTCAGCCGACCCGAGTATGCGACCTCCATTTTCATGCCTGATCCATGGTCAGAGGTGAACCCTTTTTGTGAGCTCATGAAGGGTCGAATGCGCTTGAAAACAATGAAGCTGCTTGAGGAAGGTTGTTACCAATGCCCATGCAAAATTTCGACTGTTAATTTCATGTTGATTCAGAATTATTGACAAAAAAGCATGGCTGGTACCTGTAAGCGAACTTTTGAGACACCCTGTATGAATGATATTGTTAATTAGATTCATACCATTAGTTGCACATCTTTTCATAACCCTTTGTTACCTTATCTGCATCGGCATGTCATACCTATACCTACGCAATGTTATACGGTGACAGGTGACAAGGCGGAAAAAATAGACAAAGCTTTTAAAATCCTGTCTGAAAATTAATTAGTTCGCACACTGTTGTCACATACTAATTTCATGCTTACTACTGTCAGGCCTATGCGTCTATTTATATGATAATTTACTGCTGGTGTGCGTGTCTAATTTGACCCAGCCGCCTGAATAACAAATGACATTGCGTGCTAATGGGTCACATAACGCGGCTCGCCCTCAAAGTGAATACCGGCTGATTAATCCAGCACGCACGGTTTCATTCGCATCGGGCCCATCGGGATTTATTTTGACCGCCCAGTGACCTTTCCGCGAGCCAAGTTTAGTGAGCGGTCGTTTAGTGGCACGGCCGCAGCGCCGGTCGCTCACCACCGGTTCTGTATTGATCTCACCTCTGGCGGCGCCCATCGCTCGTCCGAGCCGTGCAGCATGGTCCACTTGGAACGTGACGAAATCCTGCGCCCCGCCTCCTCGCCGCCCGTTACCGCCGGCGCGGCGTCGCCAAATCCCGCAAATGGCCCGCCAGCACGTGTTTTAGCCGGCGCGCGTGGGTGGTGGGACCGATACCGACCGTCGTCACCAGGGGATAGGGGTCCTGTTTGCTGGGTCCGGTCGTTTAGGAGCTTTACCGAAGCCGGCTGGTGTTGATGCCGTCCATGGGAAACACTGGGCTGACCTTTCTGGTGCGGGTCATGCCAATGCAGTGGAGCTAAAAATAAACGTTAGATATAGATCAGCATGGGTGGCATTGAGTTGAAGCCTTTAACGAAACATTATCGCGTTTATTTGTAGCAGGAACTTCACACAAAAACCATTTCTGGACAGTTATTATTACCTAAAGTGTCGCTCAGTTGTAGCCAATAATAATTTCAGTGCTAGTCTCTGGCAATGCACAACGATAAGCCTTAAAGTACATACAGCCTTAAAGTATAAAGTATATAGTGTAGATACAATAAGGTGCTGCTTCGGCATGACTCTGTAGCATCTTATCTACAGAGGACAGACAGGTGATTGAAAAGAGCGTTCTACCTAAAGTCTAAACTCTTGCCTTACAGAAGTCCACTGCTCGAAATGTTCTTACTCACGTCGGCCATCAGGCATTTCGTTAATGAACTGGGTGCCTCATTACTTTATTCGCCTTATGAGTGCAATATATAATATATGCTTCTCGTTTTAATTTGCGCCTATTTCCCGAATCCATTGCTGCTTATTTTGTCTGTTTTTTGTAAATGAGTTTTTCGTTACTACAGGGTGTTTCACTAAAAGTGTCAAAAAGTAAAAGGTCATAATGCACATAATAACAATGTTTTCTACGGAAATTTGCATACCATTTCATCCGCAATTGTTGGACATTTGAATATATAAAAACGATGGCACCGTCACTCAAACCTATTCCACATATCCGCCCCTTCTTTTGATGCACCGTTTCGGCACGTGTCCGGAGGTGCCTCACAGCCCGTTTTCATCTTCAGCGTCCAGACTGTCGGCAAAGCCTTGAATGGTGCTCTTCAGCTCCCGAAGTGATGTGACTTGAGTCTTCCTCAGCTCTGCGAGAGCTACTGACCAAAACCAGAAGTAAAACGGTGACAGATCGGGGCTTTGCGCTGGCCAGAGGCGGGCGGCGAGGCAGCTGATTTTTCGGTGCAGGAACTTCTAATCCAGCCAGTTCCCATGGTGGTTACAGCCATTATAGTGGCTGTTTTTGATAACTTGTAAGGCCTTGGCTATTTCTGATGTTGAAATTAGCTTCTTGTTATCTTCAAAGACCCTCAAAAAGACCCTGACCTTTTCAACAGTTTCCGCCGAGAGGTGGGGGACCCCGTCTTTTTTGGACTGCGACCGGTATCGAAGGAACCCTTTTAAACCTCTCAAGAAGCCCTTTGAACCTTTTATAATCTGGAACGTAGCGAGGTGAGAGAATAAAACGTTTCCTGAAAAGTCGGCATACGGTTTCAATGTTTCTGATGGCATCAAAGGTAAGTGTAATTCACCCCTCCTGTTGCGGTGTAAATAACCTGTTCTTGTTCTGCATAAGGAAAAAAAACGACTATTAACTTTGGCCTCCTGCCCTCGCTCCGTATGAGTGTAAAATATATCTTAAATGGACAAAGCATAAATGTCCAAAAATTTGCAACCAAGCCACGTGCGCAACCACGTGATTTGCATATTTTATATAACTTTAATAGGCATTTACTTTTTGACACTTTTAGTGAAACACCCTGTACAAACCTTCAAAAGTTATTGCATCCTTTTACTGAATAAACAGGAGATGCAGCAACGCATACATAAGATGAAAGTATACATTTTCGCTTGAAAGAAAGAGGTGATGCGAGATGCGTTTACATTGCTTGGACCGGCGAGTTTTGCCTTGAGCCAGACTGCGCCGCCGTACGCCGATGTCTTGCGGTACAGTCTATATCCCAGTCACCTGGCCTGAAATCACAGCGCTCTTGCCGCGATGCGTGGGCTAGGTCCGGCTTTGGCTCAGATGTTTCTTTGATGTTTTTGTGGTGCATGCTGGGTGATATCACTGTTTGCTGTTTTTATTCCTGAGAGTGGTCTAGCTTTGTTGGAGCTGTCATAACCAGGTCTAAAAAGACATTCAAAGACTCGCCGGCTGTCCCTGAACTATTGCACTAATATGTTTGACCGACATGCCACCAAAGTTTTAATTTGTCTCGCTTATAGAATTTAACGAGAACTGGCCCCCCGACAGGCAAAACTGGTGTAAGATTGTGTAAATGGCGACTTTTATTTCATTCGGAAGAATTATGTTAGGTGTCTGGTTAGAACATGAATGAGCATAATCCATCTAATACAAAAGTTGGTTTTTAATTAAGACTTCCATTTAAACCGGCAGTTGATTACGCTGATAAGCACTTATTATGCATGCATTAATGCTGAGATGTCTGGCCTGCCTACCAAACTTACTGAGGAACTCAAGTTACATTGCTTTATTTAATCTGAAACTTTCTTATCACGCATTGAAATACTACACGGACAAACATCACACGTAAAGCACGCTACCAAGTCAACATTCTTCGGGACATGTCCATCGCTTGTAACTGCTCTGTTCCTAGCAGCCCTGTCCCTCAGCCCACGCTCTGACTGACTTTCGACCCTGACTCTCAGCCCGTTTACTGTCTGACACTGTTGACCCTGTCTCTCAGCCCGCGCTCTGATTAACCGTCGGCCCCGCGTCTCACCCCTGTTCTAACTACCGTCCCCGTCCTGGCCACAGCTCCCGACGGTATGGACGAGAAGGCAGCCGTGCGGGAGCGCTGGCTGGCAGAGATGTTCGCCCGAGCTGCCGGAGACGACCTGGCCCTGCTGGACGAACGTGCTGCCATCGAGCTGATGCGACGACTCAACTCCCAGATCACCACCGGGCGCATCAAACAAAAACTGGCGGTGAGTGGGGGATTCACGGGGAGCATCAAACAAAAACTGGCGGTGAGTGGGGGATTCACGGGCGGGGCATCAAACAAAAACTTTAACTTGTATGCAGGATTCACGGGCGGAGTGTGCATCAAAATGTTAAAGGGAACATGGACTTCATCCTATCAGCATTGGATGGGCTGAGAACTACCGATGGAGCAGGGGGGTTCGCTCCCGTGCCTTCAGCATTACGAAAAATGGCAACAGCCCGTGAGCAGCATCAGCGCTCACGCACATGTTCAAGGAAAACGACATGTAATGGACTGCTAACGACGGCCCTCTCCACCAATCAGCGCTCGGCATCTCGAGCGCTGATTGGCTGGTAGCAAACGCGTCATATGTGGGTCTCATTTTTTGCGATCAGTGAACGCGTTATTTAATACACAGTGGCCTATGGAGAATGGCACGCGGAACTGAAGGTCAGTGTTTTATTGCTTCGTGCATGCGAATGGGGATATTTGAGTGGCATTTGACACCATTTTCGAAATCTACAGTGAATTTCTGATCGACTCATGTATATATTTTTATGAATTTGACAGTATTAGTGCTACATAGTCGGTGTTTTATGTTGGTGTTGTTTCTCTCGACCTTTGTCTTGGACTCTTATTCTATCTTTTCTCGAAAATGCTTGCCATAACCAGGTCTTAACTGTATCTGTATAAAGGGAATATGTGTTGAATATGAGGAGAAGGTAGTAATGACCATTCTGCCTATCAAACTGCCAGAAGGTGTGCTTGTAAGGTGATTGAAACTGCAGTACGGTTGCAGATTGAGATGTGGGTTTGACATTAGCATTGTTGTTGTAACCCCACTTGCTCTAATAAAATGGCAACATGGGGTTATGTACCCACTATTGCACAGCCTGGTATCAAGATGGTTGATATGTGGAGGATAATGAAAGCATAAAAACTTTTCTTTAGTGAATAGGAGCGTTGCGTCTTGTGACTTATGTCAAGTCATTTTAAATGAAATGATTGTGATTGTAACTTTTACTTCAATTAATATTATTGCTAGTTTTGACCTTTTTAATCATCAAGTTTTATGTGTACCAATTTCATATGCCTGTGTAATGTCTGTGCGGCTTTGTGCAGTGAGCGTGTCTTGAAACAAACCAATTTATTTTGTACCTTTTTTTACTTCAACAAATGTATGTCAAAGGACAAAAATGTCATGTCTATTATCATCGACACTACTACAGCTAACTTTGCCTATATTCCTATCTTTCAGAGGCATTCATCTGCTTTCCAGTGCAGTACCTAGGAGGCTGCAACTGAAACTCGCACAAAGGCAACCAAGTGTCACTTCATCAGCCTACAGTAACAGCCCATCTGTAATCAAGATATGGGTGAAGTGACATAGAAGAACAACCAGTAAACATGAAAAGATTTATTTTGTTTTGAACCATTTCTTAGCATAACTGAACAGCAAAGTGCACACTTACTGCTTTTATGTTTGCCCTGTGTGCACTGTGCAGTTTTGAATTATTTTAACTATGAAATGTTTTTTGCTAACTACTCTCTTTACATAAGCTTCCTTTGTCATGCCTGTGTAGTGTGTAATTTTGAGTTTACATGCATGATGTAGGCATGTTAGCATGTATTTCCCTTGGCTTCATAAAACTACTTCCAAGCATTTGTTATGGACATTGGTGCTACCTATATATGATGCTTCAGATGTGTCCAGTAGTTGATCAAGGGAGAAGAGTAATAGGACAGCTGATAGGCTGATAGCTATTACCAAAAATATGTGCTTGTCTGCACTTCGGGCTGTTCCATCATATGCAACCTCTATTTACTTTCTTGCGTTAGAAACACCCCATCTTTTGTTTCTTTCCTGTGCGCCCATTGTTTCCGTGGTGCTATAAACGTCAAGTTTGAAGTTGGTATCCAAGTGAGCAAAATTTGCATTATTTCAGGCCGTCTTGAATCATTCGTCTTGAATTATATCCCTAACTGACATCCTGTTATTTGTCCTGCAATGTCTGTGCCTGTGTCCGCCCTTACCTCCGGCTCCAGCCTCCAACCAGGCCTGCTGAGCTCTGTCGCCGGCGCGGTGTGTCGCAACGTGCTGTTTCTCCACTCCACCCGACAGCTGCTAGGAATCATCCTGTGCCATGCGCCATGCGACACAGCAATTGTAAGCTGCAGGTCACATTCGGACTGATTGGCTCCGCATATATCATCCGGCCGAGTGCTAGTCGATATCAGGGACGTGGGTCGGACTGTTGTGGCGGCGTGCACTGTGTTGGTTGAAGTTTATTTCTGTTAGTGAAAAGCATTAATACATAACCGTGGCCGCAGCCCAATGTTATTGTGGATTTCAGAGGGAGTGACCAGTCAGGAGGGCCCCATGTGGGTATAGATCCAGTGTCCAGTGGGATTGGCTAATATTTCCGGCGATTGATAAACGCTTCTATGATAGTAAACCTATTGAGTTATGAGGGGAGGTCACGTGAGGGACCTGACCTTACTAAACTCTTGTGAAAACACGACACATACGAACGGTAAGAAACCGACAGCTCTTCTTTCTGCCAAGTGTCATCTTTCTGTGAAGGATTTCTTGGCACTGTGTGTCCAGAAATTGCGTTGCTTTTGGACTGTGTAGAGGCTCACGAGCGATAACATAGGTCAACAACCTGACGTACCTTAAATATGCGACTTATACCAGAAGATCCAGCTTGATCAAAAGATTGTACATGTCAAATTTCAGCTCTTTAGCTCAAAAGAATTTTGAGTTATCGTAAAAACCGTCAGTGTGGCGCCGTATCGCCTCCCCGCGCGGTCGGAAGGTAAAAGTTCGCCGGCTTTAACTAAACAAATAGTTGTCGTATCGCAAATTCATTGACGGCGTTCGAAGCGTCGTTCAATTTACTTTCGAAACATATCCTAACATTAACATTTATCTGCCTAGCGCAATCTCCAACAAGCAAAAGTTCCGTGCATGCATCCTCATACAGTGTTAGCGGCCGCCGGCCGCCGGCCGCTGACCCACATTCGCGTCATCAGGGAATGCCGCAACTAATTTATTGTTTCCAACTTTTTTCCCGGAGCGTTCTACCTGGTTTATATAGCCTTGCGATGGAGGTACCGAGCATTGAATAGCCTAATCATGGATGATATAACACTGGATTGGTGTCTCGTGGAAATTACCATTGGGATCCGCGACATTGGGATCAGGCCTGCCATCTAGCGAGAGAATTATCGTAAGTTAGGAGCAAGCCGAGTGAATGCCATCTCTCAGCATTATGACACACGTGGGTGTGGTGTGTTAGTTGGCTGGAAGTGCATATTCCCACGAGTTGGAGGTAATCTTGCTGGACCTGAGACGACAAAAAATGTCTTAAATGCTTGAAAGCCAAAAACGTCAAGCAGCCTTTAGGTAATAACGAAAATAAAATGCGTAAGACGGTGTGTATTGAAACGCCCAGTCCCATCGGCTTGTACGACCTTTTATATGGTCATTTACTCACAGTGGTACAGCAGTTTGACAATATGTCATACATATTTGGTAGGCTTAGGTATTCCTTCTTCTCCGAATTTCGTCCGATTTTCTTCATCTTAGTTAATGTTACGGCACGTGTCACGTGCCAACTTAGGGGTGTCGAAATTGTTCCACATAAAGTAATTCCGCAATGGCTGGGCCCATTACAGTAAAACTTCGTCAATAGTTAGGCACCCAGTGGCCAATGCATTTCCATGTGTCACTATGGGGGTGCTACTGCACGGGGTGCCGCTTCCATATCTCAAGAACGGCTAGGCGGATAACACTCAAACTTGCAGGCGCGGATACAAGGGGGGGCCATGGGGGCCATGGCCCCCCTTGGCCGATTTTTTTTCAAAAATAAAATAAAAAGTTAAAAAGTTAAAAAGCTGAAAAGGGGCCTCCTGAAAGTAAAGTGGCCGAAATCCGATGAGTTTTTTTTAACCTACCCATTTAGTTATTTCTTAGAAGACTAGCTGAGAAGACTTCTTTGTTAGAAGATTGGTAAAGCTTTTCATAACTTGGAGGTCTCTTATACTCACAGAGATGACCACTTTTACAGGGCCTCCTAACCTGCACAGAGGGCCTCCAAGCCTGCACAGATGTTGAGATGTTGCCTGAACAGCTAGATAAGCTCAATAGACGCAGTTTTTTTTTGGGGGGGGGCCAACAAGTGGGAAGATGGGGCCTCCAACAGGTGGGATTATGGGGGGCCTCCTGGTTTCTAATGGCCCCTCCCTTGGAGATTTTCTGGATCCGCCCCTGCAAACTTGGTACACAAATGTCACATCGATGCTCGCACTCATTGATCAGTGCTTACATTGGTGCAGTGCAGAGTCATTAGGAAAACGATGAAATGAGATGCGTGGTGTTTATGCCTTTCTGTTCCAGCAGCTGATTGATCCGCAACAGGAGATCCCTGTTTGTGAGGGCTTCGTCTCCCTTTTCCACTCCTTGTTTAAAATAACATTAACAATGTACGAAGAAGATCACACATCAAAGTTGTTTAGGCGGCTATCTTGGGCCAGGGCTGCGGAGTTGTAGTCAGAGCCAGCGGTTCTGTTCCGACTCGGAGTCGGTTGCTTTTAAAAGCTGTAGTCGGAGTATGAGTCAAATGTCACCGAAAAGTCATCGACTCCACAGACTTACCGGGGCTGCAGAGTCGGAGTCAGAGTCGGAGTCTGTGTGAATCGACAGTTCTGCCCGGAGGAGTCGGAGTCGATATTTGGATACCGGAATCGGAGTTGGAGCACTGAAATTTAATCGACTACGCAGCACTGGTTGGGTCCTTTTCATAGAGCGTCTTGAAGGACATATTGAGCGGCAATGACGTTAGCAATTCCGTTTAACTTTTTCATAAGACTTATAGATACATAGTACTTACGTTCGTTTTGTTCTTTGATCGGACAATTTGTTTGATTTAGGCTAAGTAAAGACTCGTGTGAAAATTAGCGAAAACGACACGTGCTGGCGAAGTCTCCAATAACTCCCTG